TGTCAGTATCAACTAATTCTGTGATTATTCTTTAGCTGGAAAAATTTCCAAATGTAGGTACGTGGGTAGGGACTTAGGAGGCATCTGTTGCCAAGGGAATGTATATCTTTTTTTTTTTTTTTTTTTTTTGGTTTTTCGAGACAGGGTTTCTCTGTGTAGCTTTGCGCCTTTCCTGGGACTCACTTGGTAGTCCAGGCTGGCCTCGAACTCACAGAGATCCGCCTGGCTCTGCCTCCCGAGTGCTGGGATTAAAGGCGTGCGCCACCACAGCCCGGCTTGGAATGTATATCATTTTGAGGCAAGAATTTGGAAGAATCTTATTTTGTCAGAATGCTGCAGTAATGTGTTCATGACATGAAAACTACCCTTAGATAAAGCCATGGGAGTGTCACTTTTATCAGTCCTGTACTGGCTTCTTCTGGAGTAGCCAAAAGTTCCTGGGAGGAAAAGTACGTGAAATACACAGCTAGTCCTTGTTACCAAATGTTTCCGGCACTGTGTTCAGACACTCTAAGCTGTGATCCCAGTAACCATCACGGGACATGAAAGCCAGACATAGAGGCTGCACTGAGATGATCAGATTTTCTTGAGATGGTAACTGGAGTCATTGGAGGCTCTCGTCGTTGGGAAAGGCATGATGTGAGACTGATTTTGGAGGTGTCTAGTGCTATCATCACAATTTACTGGTTGATTCCAAACACATATGGATATACAAAGGACCTAGAATGGTTAACACAATTCTGTAACAGAGCAAGCTGGTGGGCTCTCATTACATGATTTCAAGGCTCATTAGAAAGCTTCTAAGATTATGTGACTCTGATAAAAAGACAGACATAGCAAGGGAACCGAATAGAGACTCCTGACAGAAATATACATTTGATCAATTGATTTATTTTTGATAGTGTTGCCAAGGCAACTCAACAAGAAAAGAAATATCTTTGTAATAATGATGCTGAAGCAAATAGAAAAAATGAAAACCTAAATCCCCACCTCACACCACATGCAAAAGTAATTTGAGGTGTATTATATAGCTTTTTAGAACACAGATTTTAGAATCAGCTCACAGAAGAGCAAAGATTATCTTGTTGACTTTAGGATAAGCAAGAGTTCCTGAGGAGGTGGGAGGGAGGGAGGGGGAGAGCATACTCTCTAGACCCCACTGAACGTGCACAAGCAAAAGGTGATAAATTGGTCTTCATTAAAAATGGAAAATTGATGATGACCTCTCATGAGGACATGCTTCTCACAAATGATCTCCTTCATCCTCTCTGGAAAAGAAGAAGAAACACAAGAAAAGGTGCCCATGCAGGCCCCAATTTCTACTTCGTGGATGTGAAACACCCCAAATGCTATAAAGCAACAATGCTCTTGCATTGTTCGCAAATGGCAGTCTTGTGGGCAGGCTGCTCCGCTGGCCTCCATCAGCCCACAGGTGGAAAAGCAAGGCCGACAGAAGGCTGCGCCTTCAAGAGGAAACAGTACTAAAAGTGCCCGAATTTACAGCTGGTGGGAAAGCTGCTGCAGGCTGCCTGTGGGTGCAGAGGGTCCTGTGGGCATGTTAACATCTGAGGGAAGGCAATGCAGATTCCACACTTCTGATAGTTCTGGACCTTTTTGACGTTCATTGAGGAAATATACATGTGTTTCAGGGACTTCTCTGGGTTAAATAAGACCTTTTTCTCCCCAGAATTTGTAGCAGAATATCACAGCATAGAGATCTGCCACGTAAATGCCCTGAAAGAGTATTTTAGGACAAACTGTCTTCCTTCTGTTTGAAACTAACTGACTATGCAGATGTGTTTGAATTATTGGCTGTACATTTATGGATTTACTATCATTTAAAATGATGATCAATTTACATGACTCTATAATCATTGAGTTGGGTTTGAATATATCAAATGTGAATGAAGGTAGCTATTGACACAGCAGACATATTAAAAAAGATGCAAAGAACACATCGACTAATGATTGATCACAATCAACATAGATAGTCCAGCTAGTGCTGCCAATTTAATGACAGGATAAATTTGCCAATAATGGACATTAATTAAACAATTAGCCAATCAAAGTCAAAAAAAGAGAGAATTTATATGTGTAGATGATGTTTGTTAGAAATATATGCCAGCAATACCGTCAATCAAACGGAACCCAGTCCAGGTTTCAGAACTTTGATCTGACTTTTTGAAAATGAACCAGGCCAAGTGCGCATTCGAGTTAACACCAGGGAATGGCAAACCTCCACTGACGTTTCCCATCAGCTCTAATAATAACCATGGCTGTCTCCTGTAGAGACAGGGGAAGGGAAGTCAGCATAAGAAACCATTTCAAATGCTCCAAGATGGATGAATTCAACACATGTGCTTGCAGTTAGTTTCAAACTCGCGAGTAAAAATGGCCACAATTGGATGTTACTAGTAACAAAATTATATTCTTGTATCAATAGCGTGAGTTATCAGAATGAAGAAAACCATCTACACTCGATATTTCTAAGAGATTTACTATCTGTCTATCTATCTGTCTGTCTGTCTGTCTGTCTATCATCTAACTAATAATTATTTAGAGACAGGGTTTTTCTATGTAGCTCTGACTGGTGTGGAATTTCTATGCAGACCAGGCCGACTGGGATCTTTCCTCTGCCTCCTGTGTGCTGGGATTTCAGGCATGTGCCACTACACTTTAATGGTTTGGGTTTAGAAAAAGCAGAGCAAATGGTTGAAAGCAAAGGGATGTTTGTTCATGTGACTGTAGACAGCATGACTCGGGAAGGTGACATGGGGACACCTTGACACGATGATGTTGAGTACTCTCTGGTGGTAAAAAAATAAAGTGATGAAGACTGGGCCGCCAGAGTTCTTAACAGTGAAGGGCAGTGGTGGCAAGACGTTCTCAGAAGAGCTCCGAAGCTCTAGTTTCTGACCCTTGTGATGCTCACCAGGTAACTCTGGTTGGGTAAGTCACTTGATTTCCCTGAGCATAGGCTTTTCCATCTTTTATGTGGGGTCAGGGTCATTCTAAGGGTTGGTGAAACAGGACACTGGGCCATTTGAAAGAGTCTGCCGATATCTGCTACAGTTGTTTTTCATTATCCGCTTGTAACCGACTCGTCAGTGCGATCCCAGGCTGGAGCCACGCGATGGTTTCTGCGAGAGCCTGGAGGTATTTTAGGAAATAATCAATACAAGATGTGTTGGGTTGCAGCCATGTGGAGAAGCATAAATCTTGACAGTATGGTGTTTGATGGAATTAATAATGCTTGAGAGAAACATTGTAAAAACCTGTGGGAGGGAAAAATATGGAGGATGTCTAGGGAGAGAGTTGAAGCCAGTGTGGAAACAGTCATCCAAAGAAGGTTGATATCATCCTGCTGCTGATCATCCCACATGTGAATGTGTGTATAGAAACATACACTAAGACATGCACATGTATTTAAAGGAACATGTACATGTCCACATATGTGTATATATGCACACACACACACACACACACACACACACACACACACACACACACCACACACACACACGAAGGTTCATGCATACAATATATACTAGATAGATGTGTCCACATCTGAATACACAAATACATGTGTGCACAGATAGATGCACATGCAGGCACACATGACCAATCAGTACAAGTTTGGTTGGTGGGGGTCTTAGAGGAAACTGACCCATGAGGACAACTAGCATGATTCCAATAATGAATAATTGCAAATTGTCCACTCAAGAGGCTACCACCTTCTCAGGAAATGTTGCTTCTGGATTTTTTTTGAAAAGTGTGTGTGTGTGTGTGTGTGTGTGTGTGTGTGTCTGTGTGTGTGTGTGTGTGTGTGTCTGTGTGTGTGTGTGTGTGTGTCTGTGTGTAGGTCAGAGGTCAGTGTTGGGTGTCTTTCTCTGTCACTCTCCACTATATGTTTTTGAGACAGGCTCTCTCCCTGAATGTAATTTTGCTAGACTGGCTGGTTAAAGGCCCCTAGCATCCTCCTGCCTCTGTTAGAGTTTCTACTGCTGGAATGACAGATACCCACCTGTCACTGCATCTGGCCTTTTACACAGGTGCTGAGGCCCCAGACTCGGGCCTCAGGCTTGTGCAGCAAGCGCTTTGACCCACTGGGCCCTCTCCTAAGGCCTGCTCCAGTTTGTTTTTTATGATTAAACAGTGGAGAGTGGAACACTCACTGAGCTTTGGAAGTTGTTGATGTTGTGACAGGGAGAGAATCAGCAGGGATGAGAGACCAGGATCTCATGGTTTTAAAATCATAAATCAAACCCAGGGGTGGCCTACGCTTAGAAAGAGAAGACCATGGCTTTCCCTTTATCTAAAATGCCCCAGATTTTCTAAAGGATTTTCTTCACGTCAGTGTTGCTGTATGAACACTTAGAGAAGCTAAGCAGGGTGTCTTGGCTGTCTATACTGCAGGAGAAACATCCTGCGAGCCCAGGGACAAGCTTGGTCAGGCTAAGTAGAGTCTGGGCGGGGGGACGACGGCAGATGGGGACAAAGTATCTGTCCCCAGGCTGACTTCCAAGCAGGAGCAACTGACTTCCTGTTGTGTAAGAAAAGAGGCCACAGGGCTCTTGGTGGTGAAACAGCAGGTAAAGGCACTTGCTGCTGACCTTAATGATCCAATTTAGGATCATTAAGGATCTCTAGGAGGTCTCAGGACCCTCCAAGAGAATTGAGTCTTGCAAGTTGGTCTCTGACCTCTAAACATCCACTGTGTTGCACACACCCCTAAATAAATGGTTATTTTTTTAAACTTAAAAAAAGAAAGGAAAAAAGTCCTTGAAAACCACACCCAAATGGCCAGAGACCAAAGGCCACATTGACTCAAGATGAAAACTTTATTTTCAGAAGAGCAATGAGATTATTTCCTAACTTAAAATTGCTTTGTGTTGTTTTATTGTGAAAGTATTACACATATCACATATTATTTAAATTGTATATTTCGAGATCAGAAGACCAGAAGTAAATCTTGACATATAAAAATCTTATATTTTCAGGAAGAAAAAAGGAAGAACTTCATCAGCCGAAGCCTTGCCCTGGGAGAAGTGCTCTGCATGGTGGATGTGGCCACATGTGTGAAGGTGCGAGGCCCTGGGCATCTCACCCTTCAGGAGCTGAGGAGGGGAGTGACATCACCATGAGCTCTCAGTGTAGTTAGTGAATGGGTGTCTGTAGCGCATCCACATCACGGCCCATCTTCCTGCTCTTTCACTGTCAATCATCACCCATTCCCACATCACGACCCATCTTCCTGCTCTTTCACTGTCAATCATCACCCATTCCCACATCACGACCCATCTTCCTGCTCTTTCACTGTCAATCATCACCCATTCCCACATCACGACCCACCTTCCTGCTCTTTCACTGTCAGTCAATCATCACCCATTCCCACATCACGACCCACCTTCCTGCTCTTTCACTGTCAGTCAATCATCACCCATTCCCACATCACGACCCATCTTCCTGCTCTTTCACTGTCAATCATCACCCATTCCCACATCACGACCCATCTTCCTGCTCTTTCACTGTCAATCATCACCCATTCCCACATCACGACCCACCTTCCTGCTCTTTCACTGTCAATCAATCATCACCCATTCCCACATCACGACCCACCTTCCTGCTCTTTCACTGTCAATCATCACCCATTCCCACATCACGACCCATCTTCCTGCTCTTTCACTGTCAATCAATCATCACCCATTCCCACATCACGACCCATCTTCCTGCTCTTTCACTGTCAGTCAATCATCACCCATTCCCACATCACGACCCATCTTCCTGCTCTTTCACTGTCAGTCAATCATCACCCATTCCCACATCACGACCCATCTTCCTGCTCTTTCACTGTCAGTCAATCATCACCCATTCCCACATCACGGCCCATCTTCCTGCTCTTTCACTGTCAATCATCACCCATTCCCACATCACGACCCATCTTCCTGCTCTTTCACTGTCAGTCATCACCCATTCCCACATCATGACCCATCTTCCTGCTCTTTCACTACCGTCATTCATTCTTGTCTTTGCTTTTAATTGTTTGTTTGCTTTTGAGATAGTTTTCCTATGGCCTAGGCTGGCCTTGAACCCCTGCCTCTGTCTCCCAAGTACTGGAATCACTAGTGCATGTCTGATACTTATTGCTTGGTTTTTCATACTGTTTTCATTAATACACATATCATGTATTAATTGATTATTCTTGTCTGTCTTAATTTCTTTCATTCTTTTCTTTTCTCCTTTCCTTCCCTCCCTCCCTCCCTCTTCCTTCCTCCCTCCCTCCCTCCCTCCCTCCCTCCCTCCCTCCCTCCCTCCCTCTCTCTCTTCTTTTTTTTTCCTCCAAGACAGGGTTTCTCTGTGTAGCCTGGTTGTCCTGGAACTCTCTCTGTAGACCAAGCTAGCCTCGAACTCAGATCCGCCTGCCTCTGCCTCTCAAGTGCTGGGATTAAAGGTGAGTGTCATTACTACCCAGGCTTCCTTTGTCTTTATTTCATGAAGACAGTACCATAAATGTCTGTGACTTACTTTCTTCCCTTAGATCTCACTGCTGAGATCGATCTACATTGTCACAAGACATTGCCTTCATTAACTTAAATCTTTGGTTTTGGAAATTGAACCCTTTAAACTTGTATTAGTTCATTTATTTTTTACATAAGTATATCACATCACGGAGAGCATTGCTGCTTTCTCATCAGCCTACGTGGAAGTTCGATGGTATTGGCTACTTTGGCGTTACAGTGACCCAAGTGCCTGCTGGAGACAACCCAAGGAGGAATGGCTGGTTTATTTTGGCTCACGGTTTCAGCTCATTATGGCTGAGAAGAAGGCGTGGTGAAACAGGTGGTGCCGTGGTGGCAAGAGTGTGTAGCAGATAATCGGCATCACAGCAGACCGGGAGACCAAGAGCGAGACAGAAAGTGGGAAGGGAAAATACATCCCCAAGTACTGCTCCTCTTGCTATAACCTTCTGAGATGTGACTAGGGTGTGTGTGTGTGTGTGTGTGTGTGTGTGTGTGTGTGTGTGTGTACTTGCACATGCGTACTCACATATGGAAGCCAGAGGACAACTATGGTGTCATTCCTCAGCCATATTTTTTTATAATTAGATTGTTTATGTATTGAAAGAAAGAGAAGAGGGATTGGGGAGGAGAAAGACAAAAGGGAGAGGGAAATCAGGAGAGAGAGAGAGAGAGAGAGAGACAGACAGACAGACAGACAGACAGACAGACAGACAGGGACAGAGAGAATATGAACGCATTATGGCGTGCCTGTGGAGGTCAGAGGACAATTTGTTGGAATCACTTCTCTCTTTCTACCATGTAGATTCTGGGGACTGAACTCAGGTCATCAGGCTTGGCAACAATAACCCCTGAACCATCTTGCTATCTCCTGGACACTCTTCTTCTTCAAAAAAAATTGAGACAGGGTCTTTTACTGGCCTGGAACTCCCTGAGCAGACTGGCTTGGCTGGCCAGTGAGCCCTGGAGATCCTCCTGTCTGCCTTCCCATTACTGACTGAGACTCCAAATGCATGTCATGGCACCTGGATATTATTCATGGAGGTTCTGGGGATCAAACTCAGGTCCCTGTGGTGACAAGGCAGGCACTTTGCTGACTAAGCTCTCTCACGGTCCAACCCAGGAGCCCTCCTTAATTTTCTCCCAGGTGGTGGCTTCATTGGTAAATGGAGGTGAGGTCATCTTCTCTGGTGACCAGAATCACCTTCTCATCCCCATGTGTAAGAGACGAGGCTCTGCCAAGGCTCATCATTTGTCTCTTGACACTGTCCTGACTTCAGATGCCAGCCTCTAGGCATCTCCAGGGGCAGCTGCAGGGGCTGCTGCCAGCCCTTTCTGGGCATGCTGTGGTTATTGCTTCAGACTCCTGATGTTGCAGCCATTCTGTTTCTTCTATAGATTGTGGAGAGAGGAGAGAGATGCACCCAAAACAGTACATGCTGAGTACACGTTTGCAGTTAGGGTTTTCATAAGGTGTCTCAACTGCTCTCCTCAGTTTGTCTCAACACAGATGGGCTTCCTGGTGTTCTGCCTCCTGTGGTGTACCAGGGACAGGACAATGGATGGTTTTACAGCAGTGTCTTCTGGGAGGACAGTTTGGATAGATGTCCATCTTTTGTCAGCTGCAGCATCTCTGTCTCAGTATCTTCATTTGAGCATCCCCTCCCTGGTTCATGCCAACTCTTGCAAGCCCCAGCATGACAGCTAATGGGCTTTCATGCACATAGTTACTCAGCCAAAGGCCAGGTATCTCCCAGAGTCCCTCCTTCCCTTCCCAAATCCAACTCATAACTTGTTTCCAGAATTTATACTGAATCTCTCCCCTTCTTTCCTCGCTGACCAATGTATTCCACCATCCCCGCTTCCTACCTGCCTGACTTGGTGTTCTGGCTGGAAAACTGGTTGTGTACCTCCTAGGAGCTCTGCGGTACACATGTCAGGCCAGAGGCCATCTGCTCAGGAACCTCCCTGGACTCTTCCTGCACTTGGTCCGCCTTGGTCATGTTGTCTGCCGTTTGGAGACTGTGGTTTTGTGAGGGGAAGTCCCCACACATTTCCTGACTGTGTGAGTGAAAGTGACATAGATGTTGTCTATGAGCTGGCCACTTTTCTTCGAAGGTGTGGGTCGCTCTGGCCTAACTGCTTACTAATGTAGCTAGTGCAGGAAGCTTTTCAAGTGTGTGTACAAAAATTCCAGTTTTTCCCATTCTCGAGGAGGAGGAAAAGTTAAAAAACCTGGAAAAGAAATATATGATAACCTATACATTCACCATCAGCCAAAGAGATTTAGGAGTGGAAATTCCAACTTGTTTTAGTTGGAGTAAAATATTGTCTTTAAGCTAGACACAGAGAAAAAAAATACCGTTTTCGATTGATTTCATTTTCCAAATGTGTAGGTACAGATGACTCATTCAGTTACCAGTGACTCCCCGCTACTGCCTCCCTGACCGACAGGTCCAGTTTAAACTTGATTGAGGAAAATAGGCTTAATTGCTAGAATTAACGAATTCCACAGGTGAGGGAGACCTGCGTTCTCGAACCTCTTGGCCGTTCTCTTTCTTTGACCCTGTGGTTGTGTGTTGGCTTCTTTCAGTAGGTCGTGGGCGATGGCAGTCAGCTGCCTCAGGTCTCCATCTCTCTGGATTCCGTTGTGTCTTGGTGGCTCACTCGGAATGGTCCCATTGAGATCCGTGGTCTGTTCCTGAAGCCACATCCTCAGGGCTATGGCGATGATGCAGCCCAGATATGTGTAGGCAACACTCATCCTTAAAGCCACCTGAAAGCCCTTCAGACCCATTCTAGGGCAGGCTGGTCCTTAGGGGAGATCCAGAGTGTGTGAAGACCTGTGTAGCATGAAGGATCCCTAGAGATACCCCTTGAATGGATTTGGCCAGTGGGTCTAGTTTTTGCTAAGATGTTGATTGTGGCTAGTCATTGTTTGTACTGTCTTTGTTTCTAGTGTGGAATCATTTACTTGTTATTTGGCGGTGCCATCAACAATCTTGGAAGTCCGGAACATGTTACCAAGTGGTTTCAGCAACTCAAGGTATGATGCTTGCCTTAGTATGTTGTTGGTTGTTTTTTGATATTTTGGGGGGCCTGCCACCCAGCTCCCAGATAAATTACACATGGAGGCTTATTCTTAATTATAAATGCTCAGCTTTAGCTTGGCTTGGTTCTTGCCAGCTTTCCTTAACTTTAAATTATCCCATCTACCTTTTGCTTCTGGGCTTTTCCTGTTCTCTTACGTCTATAAATCTTACTCTTACTCTGTGGCTTGCTGTATAGCTGGGTGGCTGGCCCCTGATGTTCCTCTCCTTCTCTGGCTCCTTCTTTTTCTTCACTCTTCCCAGATTTCTCCCTCTATATATTCTCTCTGCCTGCCAGACCTGCCTATCCTTTCTTCTGCCTCGCTATTGGCCATTCAGCTCTTTATTAGACCATCAGGTGTTTTAGACAGTCACTGTAACACAGCTTCACAGAGTAAAGAAATACAACATAAACAAAAGTAACATACCTTAAAATAATATTCTCCAACATTAGTAGATAGCTTTTTCCATGGAGATTTTAAAAAAATTCATAGTACTTTTGTGTGAGTGTGTGTTTGATTAAAAAAAAAAACAGAATTAGAATCTGCAAAAATTTGTTCTAAATTAGAGTTTCAAGATTATCTTTTTAAATATTATTCTACATTTGTCGTATTCTTTTTTTAAGATTAATAAAAATTTATGTCTATGGATATTTTGCCTGAATGTATGTTTGTACACCACATGAGTGTCTGGTGCCTTCAGAGGCCAGAAGAGGATGTTGGATCCTCTGGAAGTAGAGTCACAGATGGTTGTAAGCTATTATATAAGTGCTGGGCACTGAACCCAGGTCCTCTGCAAAAGCAACAAGTGCTCTAAACCACTGAGCCAGCCATCTTTCCAGCCTCACCTGTCATGTTCCTGAACTCATAATAGATGTCAACAAAATAATTTTTTTTATGGTCGTCTCCAGCTTTCTTCTCCTTTTCTTGTAATATTGTTAATGGCCTGAGCTCTTCAGTTAGAGTTCATCTGACCAGCTAACTTTCTTTTAATATCTCCTGAACTCCAGGAGCAGACGTCTACTGGGATGTTCGCAATGACAGAGAAGGGTCACGGGAGCAACGTGAGAGGGATCCAGACCGAGGCCACCTTTGACCTTGACAATCAGGTGAAGAATCTGTTTCCTGTTTCATGGTTCACTGCAACAGGGGACCTGTACGGACCTTCCCATCTTCCTGAGCTGGGCTTCACACCCTCGGCATGCGCTCTGGTTGAGAAGCTGAGCCTCAAAACAGCATCTGATTGTTTTAGAGATGGACATGAGCTCAGCCTTTGAGAACAATGCCAGCCTACAGTCACACACTTCCTGCCACCAAAGGGACACGGCTCTGTACATGCACTCTTTAGTGATTCCCTTGAAACGTTTCCATGGGAACGGCACTAGCCACATTGTTGCTCTTTCCAACAGTAGTCTATGAAGCAGGGAGGAGAGGTCTTTGCTGTTTCTGAACACCGCAGCACATCCAGAGCTGAGGTTTCCTGATCAGGAGCTAAGTCCTCTATGCTGTCACAGTTGTCCCTCAATATTCACGGGGTATCACGACTTCTAGGAACCTCTGATAAATCTAAAATACACAGACACTCAATTTCCTCATATAAGTAGCATGGTATTTGTGTAGGACCTTCCACATTCTCCTGTATACTTTACATCATTTTTGATGACTTCTAATACCTAATGTAATGCTGATGCTATGTACCTGTTAAACGATATCATTTAGGGAATGATGATAAGAAAACAATGTTTGTAGGTAGTCAGTATAGATGTAATTAAAATGTATCTCAATACATAGTTGGTTGACTTCAGTGATGTAGGATTCATGTGAATAAAGGGTCAATTAATTGTATTATGCAGTGTTCTTCTTGTGTGTGTTTGTGTGGTAGTTTGAACGTAATTGGCCCTTATAAGCTCATAGGGAGTGGTACTATTAAGAGGTGTGGTCTCATTGAAGTAGGTGTGGCCTTGATGGAGGAAGTGCGTCACTGTGAGGGCTGGCTTTGAGGTCTCCTATGCTCAAGCTACGTCCAGTGTCTCAGTTCACTTTCTGTTGCCTTTGGATCAAGATGTAGAACTCTCAGTTCTTTCTCCAGCACCATATCTGCCTGCATGCCTCCATGTCCCAACATGATGATAATGGACTGAACCTTTGAACTATAAACCACCCCAATTAAATGTTTTCCTTTATAAGAGATGCCATGGTCATGGTGTCTCTTCACAACAGAAACCCTAAGATATGGTGTGAGTGTATGTGTGATATATGTGCACACATGTGCACCCATGCCTAAGCATATGGAGGCCAGAAGAAGAAGTAGATTGCCCTGCTCTACCACTCTCTACCTTATTCCCTGGAAACAGGATCCCCCACTGAATGTGGATGGAGCTAGGCTAGCAGCCAGCATGCCCTAGTGATACTGCTGTTTCTTCCCAGCACAGCATGGGGTCACAGCCATGTAGGGCCGCACCTGGCTTTTCCCCTGGGTCCTGGGCATTTAAACACAGGTCCTCGTGCTTGAACAGCAAGTGTCCTTCCCACTGAGTCCTCTCCCAGCCCCTGTGCGGTAATCTTAACCATGGCTCGCATGGGGTTTCCTTGACAACCTGGGGGTACCACCGTCACTTTTTTTCATTTTTATTCATTTTGTTCTTTCGTTTCTCTTTTCTTTGCTATTCTTCCTTTTCCTTCCCTTTAAAATAGTGTGTGTGTGTGTGTGTGTGTGTGTGTGTGTGTGTGTGTGTGTATGTGTGTGTGTGCCACAGCATGTATGTGGAGCTCAGAGGACAACTTGTTGGATTCAGTTCTCTCCTTCCCCCATGTGGGATTGAACTTAGGTCTTCAGGCTTGGTGGCAAGTGCTTCTACCCACTGAGCCCTGTCACTGGCCCTCTTTTCCGTTCTTATTCATGAAATAAACATGTTGGTCAAGACCTTCTCATCTGGTGTCTTGCTCCTTAATGGACCACAGCCAGAGCAAGGTGGAAGCTCTCCTTTGTAGCTCTCCACTACTGGACTCCCCCACCCCCATCCCCCACTGCCCTTGCCAGGTAAAGAAAGCCACTGTTGATTGATCTTACCCTCTTGTGTGGTTTCTTATTTGGTACTGGGTATGCCTAAGGACTACGAAGGAGCGACTGAATCCTGATGTGTCCGGCCATGTTTGTGAGCGGGGTGGGGAGGGGCGTCCCACGAGTGTCTGTGCGTCCAGTTCTAGTCTTCCACTTCCTGCGAGTCTGCCTTTCTGAATCAGGACTTTTTGAAAGTAAGGTTTTTTGCCTGGTGAATCCTCATCAGCTGAGTGGCAGTGTTTAGAATGTCATATTCAGGTGACAGATGTCTTAGAGGCTGGTTTCCCCCTTCCCTGATGTTCTTTCTTTACAGCAGTCAATGATGTCCCCAGTCATATGGCGAGCAAGGGTTGTGCCCTGCCATGCCCTTCCAGCTTCTTCTCTATGGTGTGAGCATTCTTTCGTACGAATGCTCCCTTTAAATCGGTTAAGCAGTTTCTGTTAGTTGGGAATTCAAGTGGTAGGAGGCACTTAGCTAAACACTGAGATAACCAGCCAATGAAACATTAGTGTCCCTATTTTACAGACAGAGAAACTAAGGCTCACAGATGTTAGGAACCTGACTCTAGTGATAGAGTTAATGAGGATTCTTAGGTTAAAATGGAACTGCTTTAAGAGTGTGGCTTCCCAGCCAAATGATGCTTTATTGACCTGATATCCTGTGGGTTTTGGCTGGCCTCTTTTTTTTTTTAATTCTTTTCCCAAACTGTGAGATTGAGGTGACCTTGCAGTCATTACTGTGAAGGAAAAACCACCCACAATTCTTACTTGTTTCTTCTTACCATTTTTTTCAACAAAAAAAAAATAATTTCTTGCGTTAGTCCCATTTTCCCCAAACAGCGTAAATGATTTTGTCACCTGGTGGGCCTCCGCAGCTGCCTCTTTCTGACAGGGGAGTTGCAGATGAGAAGAATGGTGAGCTCTGTCTCTCCAGTGGGTGGGAGAGGGAACAAGTCAGTCATAAAGTTCTGCCGGGAGGGAAGCAGGATGGTGGGGTGTGTGTGTGTGTGTGTGTGTGTGTGTGTGTGTGTGTGTGTGTGTGCACTAACACAGCAGGGGGCGGCTTTCTCCCTTGGATTCCTGTTTCTCCTTCATTTCCCCTTGAAAGTCGTGTCGCATACCAAATGAGCCCTCGTTCCCTCCCTTCTTTGTTTGATTGTTTGTGTTTTGGTTCTTCTGTTTTCATTTGTAGGGGAATAGATTAGCTAGTGGTATGGTTAGCTGGGAGATAAGCCTTTTATTTTCGTACTCTATGCTAACTAGCCAAAATAAATGAGGTTACGACCAAAGCTTTTTAATTTTTATTATTTTACATTTTATTTATTTGTTTATTTGTTTGTTTTTATTGTGTGGGTGCACTCACACATGTGTACACATGCATGTACCACAGCACTCATGTGGAGGTCAGAGAACACTTTGCAGGAGTCTGTTCTCTCCCTTCTACCATATGGGTTCCAGGAATTAAATTCAGGTCATTGGGCTTTGAGACAAATGCCTTTAATGACTGAGTCATCTCACTGGCCCTTTTTGACTTGAGAAGATTTACTTTTTATTTTGCATATATACGTGTGGGGGGGCATGTGTGAAATGTGAGTGCAGGTATCCTCAAAGCCCAGGGATGTGGGTTCTCCTGGAGCTGGAGTTACAGGTGAGCTACCTGACAGGAAGGGGTGCAGAGAACCAAAGTCAGTTCCTTTGTAAGAGCGGTGCATGCTTATCACCACCACTGAGCCATCTCTCTAGCCCTCTACCTTTCTATTTATTTTATTTTATTTTTTTACATCCTAGTGTTTGCAACTTTGGCCATTTTGTTGGTCTTCAACAAGTAATCATAATTGTAAGCAGCACACATGCTGGGCATTGTTTAGATTACAGTTTCAACTCCAGCCTTTTGGCTGATACAAACTTTCCATGTCAAGCTTCTTGCCAGCAGTGACAAACCTCTTCCCCGGGGGTGTATTTGATGAGTACAGGACTGGTGGCCTCCCACCTTCTCCCCTGGCAGCCCCATGTTTCCAGGGCTCTTTTCTGCCTCCTGACCCATGCACACAGGTTGTTTATCATTCTTGCCCATTGCATGCAGCCTTGAGTTACCCCCTCTTTCAGAAGCCCTGGCTGGTCAGATAAGCCAAGGACAATCTCAAGAGACTTCTCAACTCGTCCATGTGTTTTTCTGAAAAGCCCCTGCACATGTTAAAGGTTTTCCTGTACAAACTGATGTCAGAGATTGTTGTCTTAGGCCTCAAGACTGTATTTCTTGGCCCGATGGGAAAGCACAGTCTATACACTTTATAATCTGAAATCTGAGATAATCCTTGTGTGACCAAGAGCATGTTGGTTTAGCTGAATCATGTCTTCTACATTGTCAACTCCAATTAAACGGCCAGTTCAGCTTTCTGCCATTTCCTCTGGGCCCCTGACCTGTCATAGGTACCCTGTACTCAGTGCTAGCAGTATGGTCAGTACCTGCTTGGTAAGAGGTTTAAGGGTAACCCATGTGGTGAGCAAGACGGGGGAGAGCCAAGCCTCGATGGCAATATTTCCACTGGTATTGGTTTCCAGACAGTAGGAAAGAGAAGCCTGGGTTTGAGCAGAGACTGGAAACAAACTCTGCATGCTGTCCCTGTTTCTTCAGGCCAGGGTTAGTTTCAGGGTCTTTGGAGCTGGAATCTTTGACTCTTACTGAGACAAACTGCATGAGGCATTCTAAGATTTTCTCAGAAGACTGAGGTTCCTTTACAGGTGTTTCTGTTCCAAGGGTTTGGGGGGCACATGACTCTAGTATAGGACCTTGGGGGCTTTGTTGTATTCACTGACTAGTGAGATGTTTGCAACAGGTTCTGAGACAACCAGCCAAAGGCTTTGATGGGTGTTTTCTTTTCCTTTAAAAAAATCAAAATTAAAATGATTTTGGGGTGATATGCTAAGCAATGATAGGAATAGCTCACAGGTACCTGTTTTGCTTGCAGCCAAGCACATGGCTTTGGCCTTTTGATGAGGTGGTTGTCGTTTAAATAAAGTTCTTATCATGGCTGCAGGCTGGCCAGGCCTGTGCAATAGTGGAAAGCATGAGAACTCAGAGTTTACCCAGAAAGGGAAGACAAAATGAAACATGCATTTGTGTACTCGGGAACAAACCATCCAGGACCCTGGATCGTTGGGCTGTTCCCTCTTTTCATGGGCACCTCATAGGTGAGGTGTTTGAGGGTGAGGGGTGTGTGGAGAGCTAAGTGCCTCTGTGTGTGAGTGTGTGTGTGTGTGTGTGTGTGTGTGTGTGTGTGTGTGTGTAAGAGAGAGATGGGAATTAAGTATTCAACCACTGAGCTATAACCCTATCCCTTTACTTTTATTTTGAGAAAAGGCTTTGCTAGGTTGCCTAGGCTGCCCTTAAACTCACTGTGAGGTCTATGCAGTCCTTGAATATGTAGTCTTCTTGCCTCAGCCTCCTAAGTAGCTGGGGTTGGGAACTGTCCCATCACATCTAGCTCTTGTAGCAGTTTTGGTGTTGGGTTCTTTAAAAGCAGAATCCTCAGTATGAAGTAGCTGGATGAGAGGAATTGATAATTGAAGAAATAGTTAACACACTGAAACCTGGCAGGCGAAGAAGACAGCACACATCAGCCTGACACTGTCAAAGACAGAGACTGGGAATGAATGAATGAATGAATGAATGAATGAATGAAAATTAGCCCACTTATTTTTCTGATTGAATTATGCACCAAAAAGGAAAACCCACTTTCATTTCCAGTCACCTTCCAAGCAAAGATGGAGGCAAAGGCCATTTACAGAGGGACAGAGCAACACAGAGTTAGGACAGTGGCTTTCTGGGAGCCTCTGAGTCTTCTTTACATCGCAGATCTGTCTTACCGTATCCATTGTGCTGAGCTCGGGGTTGAAATGAGCCCCATGGAGGCAAACACTCTGTGCCGTACTCTTCTCTGCAGGAGTTCGTGATTGACACGCCGTGTGAAGACGCCCAGAAGATGTACATTGGCAACGCCATGACCGGGAACTATGCTGCCGTCTTTGCCCAACTCATCATTGAGGGACGGTCTCAAGGTTTGTTACCAACATGAGAGACTGGAAGAATTCTCTCTGCTATTGCTGTTTTCCCATCAGTTCTTTACATGGAAAACATGCTTCCCAGGGCCAGCTTTGTCTTGTAAGAACATGCACTGCTAACTTAATCTTCTATGTAAAGGTGATGCTCAACTTGTTGATATTAGTCACTGTTGGGTACAGTGCCTAGAAATCAATGGATTTGGAGAGTAAAATAATGTCACATTGCTCCAGAGAAGATATGATGAAGTTTTATTCTTTTATTTTTATTTTTTTGAGACAGGGTTTCACTAGGTAGCCTTGGCTATCCTAGAACTCTCTCTTAGACCAGACTGGCCTTAAATTTACAGAGATCTACCTGCCTCTGCTTCCCAAATGTTGGGATTAAAGCCATATGCCACCACACCCAGCTTGAAGGTTTATTCTTTACAAGGGGGAGTCTAAGGCCAGGTATGGTAACTTACTCCTGTAATTCCAACAGTTGGAAGGTGGAGGCAGGAGGATTAACTTTAATTAGAGGCCACTTTGGCCTATATGATGAGTTCTAGGCCATCTAGGATTACATGTCTAGACTTTGTCTCAAAAACAGTGAAAGGGAGACCTAATAAGGGCCTGTCTTTCTGCCTTCCTTAGGGCCCCACTGTTTCATCGTTCCTATCAGGGATGAAAATGGAAACTTGTACCCAGGAGTGACAGCCATTGATATGATGCATAAAGAAGGTGAGTCCTCAGGTGACCCTCCTCTGTCTTTATTTGTGCCTCTTATGGGTTCTCCAGCCCCCACCACAGCCAAGGAGAATCTAACTGCTTTCATCTCAAGGAAACCATGGCGTTGGACCAAACTCCCAGGAGACCATGCATTGATGCTGTTATCTCCATGCTTCTCAGTTTCTTAGTGACAAAGATGCTTTGTCTCCAAAGGGTGTTTCAACTTTTCTCTTCTTAGACTTAGGGCAGGCTTCTGCTCTCTGGTGAGTCTTCACCTCCAGATTGATGTTTGTGTCCAGTCAGCCCTTGTTGAGCCTTGAGGACTGACTCAGAACATCTATAACAGGCCTGAGATGAGAGAGCTGCCAGGGTTGACTCCTTCTGATGGGGGCAATGGAAAGTTCTGGTCCAGGACTCTTGTCTCAGCTTGTGAATGCCGTCTTCACATGAGCATGTCGTCTTCCTGTGCACACATCTGTCTCCAGGTTTCTCCTTCTTAGAAGGACTCCTATCATTTGTATTAGGGCCCACCTTAATGACCTCATTTTTAACCTGGTTGACTCTGTAATGCCTCTGTTTCCAAACAAGTTTGCATTATACACGTAGGACTTAGGACTTCAGTCCACAAATGGGATCTACAATCTACAATTCATCCCATGGTACTCAGTGAGACCAGGTTTCCAAGGTGGAGCCAGCTAAAGAAAGGGATACAGGAGTCAAGGATAAAAGAGAGAAGAAAGAGGGGAAGAGATAAGAGAGTCACATGGGACAGTGGAGGAGTGACCTCATCCTTCCCTTCTTATGGCAAGCACGGCTGCTAGACATGGTCCCTGAAGGTCCCTGGAGTGTCAAGTGCCACTGAGAGCAGAGGGACAGGCCAGTGCTTATGACGTCATGCCACATGTTGAAAACATTGGCAGCTGCGGAAGGACTGCTTTGGTTTTTCTATGTCTTCTGTCATTTACTTTCACCGGTTCGTCCTGTGCCTGAGGAGGAAGCTCAGATGGGGAGGAAGCAGGAGCTATGCTGGGACAGGCTGACTTCTGTCTTCAGGGTCCCATGCTTTCTCTTGCCTGGACACTCCCTTGTAAACCTTTATCTACTCACTTAGCTTTACATTTGATTTTGCGTGGATGAGTGTTTTGCTGGCATGCCCATGCACCGCCGCCTGCGTGCTTGGTGCTCAGGGAGGTCAGAAGGAAGTGCCAGTCCCTTGGAACTGGGATTGCTTATGGTTGTGAGCCACCATGTGGGTTCTCAGAACTGAACCTGGGTCTTCTGCAAGAGCAACAAGTGCTCTTAACCACTGAGATGTCTCCTCAGGCCCTGAACGTTTCCTTTTACTAATGTTTGCTGCAGGGGAGGGAAATGTGCCCTATCAGACCCTGAACCTGAGTCCCTTGCACACTGTGGGGCTGCAAACAAGGAAAACCACATCACCGTCTTCCGGTCTTCTTCAGGGTGGGGGTTGGGGATGGGCCAGGTGTGTCTGAGCCAGGGCCCAGAGAACAAACTGACAGCATCATTGCTATGCCCCCTTACAAAAGAGCACTGCACTCCTGGAAATGTTTAAGGTTTATGTTTTAGGCCCAGGAGTGGCTGAGGCCATCTTTGGAATGTTACATAGCTTTCCCTTGCATCTACATTTTTACTCTGTTCCCCCAGGACTGAACGGTGTGGATAATGGAATTTTGATATTTGACAAGGTTCGGATCCCAAGAGAGAACCTGCTGGATAAGTGAGTAGTGTTCTCCTTACGGTCGGTCTGTGTAGATGATCTACTTGTTCTCTCAAATGAGGCTTCTAGTTTTGGGGTCTCACGGACTGCAGGACCAAGTGGTCTTCCCCCAGGTGTTTTCATAACTAACTGGAAAAGGTATATAAGCAAATAGAGAAAAATCTAAATGCTCCAACATAACATTGCTCAGACATAATGATTGTTATGGGAAACTTTTCTCTGCACCAATATGTCTAAAAAAAGAGACCTACATTAGAATTTTACCATAGAAGATCTGCTTAGAGATTCTGTTCTTTGATGAACCTGTAATTTCCATCTAACATTGCATATCAACCATACCATAGTACTATGCTAAAGAGTCAATGAATTATGTGCCCAGTCCCTTGTTGTTGGGCATTTAGCTTCTTTTTATTTTAGCAATTATGAATAAACTGATGTGTACCACTTGCTTCCCCTGTGGGTGTGAAAAGTTAAGAGACTACCTTTTGATCATAATCAAAATGCACTGTGTACATTCATGAAGTGCTCAAAGAATAAATAAGAAATACTATATTTAAAAAAAAACACCATAATACTTTTCAGCAGGGGAGGTTGTTAAAACCACTGTTAACTGGAGGGAAGATGCCCAGGTGTCCACCAGGCAGTCAAGGTGAATCAAACAGTGAGGTGGAGGATTCTTTCTCTGAATGACAGTCAGGGTTAAAGACACCCTTTGCAGATTCTAGGACACACCAGCTACCTCAGTGCTTCAGCGGTGTTTCCTGTGAACTGTACATCCTGAGTCACAGCTGTACTTAAATCACGGGTAGAATCAGCAATCTGGGTATAAGTAAGTTGTCTTTTTACCTTGCAGTGGATCTTCTCCTTTACTTATCTTTGCTACTTACAAGTTCTTGTCAACAAGTAAATGTGGTCAGCTACAAAAGTCGAAGAAAATTGCACAGGAAACCAACTTAGAATGGACCAAATTCTCTTTGTCTCCCACCCTATGTGAACTGGTGGTAAATAGAACAGAAACAGCAAAGACATCTTTACAGATGTCCTGAAAAATCCCAGCAGCCACCAGTGCTTGTGAAAGTGGGTCTGAGGTCCACCAGCCTTCCCTGGAGGGGCCTGTCCATTTTCTAGGCTCTTTGTTAGCATCACCCATTCTGGAGGATGGAAGAGGGAAGGGAAGTCACAATTGGCAGCTCCCATATTCCATCACACTAATCAGAGCCAGCCACAGAAGACCACTGGCCAATGGGAAGGGCTCATCAAATGCACTAGAGATTAGAAAGTCAGATTCAGTGAGAAAGAAGAATGATTATGGGCTTGTGTTGTTTGTAGATAATACATCACTTTGATGAGCAGGATTTGATTTATAATATTATTTCATTACCATTTAAGTTGTCCCCCATACTACAGAACAATGGCTGCATGGGATTTTGAAGGAGTAGTCTTCCAGAGTCTTGGTTCAACATTTGATTAGAAAGTGAACCAGTTAATAGATGTAAATAAATGATTCAATACAGTCTCTCTAAAAAAATTTCATCTGCCATTTTCATTTTTGAAGAAACTAATAAATTCACCTTAACATTTAAATGCAAGTATAGGAAACCCAGAATAAAGAAAACCATCTTTATAAAGAACGAAGTGGGAGGATTCATACTTGGAATCTGAAAGCTTATGACCAAGCTATGGTAATCTAGATTGTATGGCATTAGCATAAGGGTAGGTTTATGGACAATGGAATAGAATAGTCTACAAATAAATCCTCATGTTTATTGACAATTATTAGACTTCTGGAGCACCAAGACAAAGAGGAAGAGGAAACAATAGTCTTTTCAACGAGTGGTTCCAGGACATGTGGCTATCTATATTAAAAAAATGATAGGCTGAAATCTTATCTCACACCACCCAACATACACGCACACAGTTCTTCAAAGAGACCTGGGGCATAGAGTTAGTGACGTTGGTCTCACCAGTGAGTTATTAAATATGACACCAAAAGTACAGATAAAGAAAAACCAAAGAAAAGTAGAGCAATTAGAGTTTGTGAAAATTTTTAAAAACTTAGTGAAAATAGTCTTTTGAGCTGAAGAAAGACTTGTAAGTCAAATACATCAGAAGGGCCTAGCATCTAGAATGGAAAAGCTATCTCAGTTAATCAAGACAGACGACCAGTTAAAAAAATAAACAAAATATGAATAGACATTTTCCCAAAGAAGATATTCAACTTTCTAAGAAAACTCACCAGTCCCACTGTCATTGAGAGACTGCTGTGAAGTCACAGTGAGATAGCATTCTGCACCCCTTGGGATGGCTACGGCAAAACATGCAGACAATATCAAGTGCTGGTGAAGTTGAGGAGACATTAGAACCATCACGTATCACTGGCAGTGTTGTGACATGTCTTCATAGATTTGGAAAGTCACTTAGCAATTCCTCAAAAGTTTTTTGTTTGGACTGGAGAGATGACTCGGCAGTTGAGAGTGTTTGGTGCTCTTGCGGAGGAACCCAATTCAGTTCCCAGCACCCACAGAATGGCTCATGACTGTCTTAACTCCAGTTCCAGAGGATCTAATGTTAATCAGATGCCGACTGCATCTCATCTCATCTTCTGGCCTCAGTGAGCTTCTGTACTCAAGTGGTGTGCATTAAACTCATGCAACACACACATACACACACACACACACACACACACACACACACAAACACACAATACATAAATCTTTAAAAAAATGTTTGAAGTTAGATGACCGAACAGTTCTATTCCCAGATACACATGTATGTCTGTATGTATGTGTACATACATGTACATATATGCATACATGTATACATATATGTGTATTATATATATATATATACATTGTCCATATGCTCATTGAAATGTGTACATCTATTTGTCCTACTTAAACTTGAGCACAAATGTTCATAGCATAATTACTCATAATATCCTCAAAGTGGAAACAATTCTAACATCTGTTAGCTGATAAATGTTAACAACAATTGCGTGAAATAGTAATTCATAAAAAAATAAGTGCTGATATAAGCTGGAGCATAGGTGAACCTTGCAAACCTTGTTTGCAAGTGAAAGAAGCCAGACACAAGAACACATTCCATATTTCGTTCCCACTGATGCAAAGAGTAGGATGACCCATACATGTAAGATAGTTGGTTGCCCAGGACTGGAGGGCGGAGAATATAGAGAGCGACTGTAAATGGTGTGGGGTTTCTCTTCGACTGGTGACAATTTTCGAGTTGAGGAGTAATAATGATTGTGAACATCCTAAAACCCACCAAATCCAAATGCTGACACAGGTGGATTTTATGGGATGTTAATTGTTTTAAGGAGACAAGCCAGTGTGTGTTCGCACACTCGGGCACTGGCTTTGGTTGATGGTGGTGGTCTTCCTCCTCTCCCGTTTTGGGAGTTGCTACTGCACTGCAGGCTGGCAGTGGTAGAGAACCTGCCCCTAGTCAAGCCTTCTCAGCATTTACTTTGAGAAGCTCCCAGGATTCCCATTTCTGCGTTTACATGGGAATCACATGATTTCATTTCTAGTGGTGCCATACTTTGTTTTGTCTTAAACTCCATCTTCTTTTTCCATCCTGCTTCCCTACATCCTCACAGGTTTGGTTCTGTGGCCCCAGACGGACGGTACCATTCACCCATTCAAAGCAAGAGTGCAAGATTCAACGCAATGCTGGCAACACTGACCCCTTCAAGATTAGCAGTGGCGTTCAAAGCCATGGGCAGCATGAAGGTAGCAGGCTCTGATTCTCATTAAGTTCACTGCTTATTGTTTCCAGGATGAGTAACAGCATCAGATGATAAGGTTCTCAAACCTTATGTGGGGCCAGAGATATTCTTATATGCTGAGGGGGGCAGACTGACCGTGAATACAGAACATTTCTGCATCCTCAAAACTATATTCCATCTAGCTGTATCTTAGATGTGTGTTGCTAGGCATAGTTGGAGAAGTAGCAGAATCACAAAAGATGACCCAGAGAGACAGTCTTATTTAAGATGTGTGTGTCTGCTAGGAAAGCAATTAAGCATTAACTCACGCGGGAAGGTCATCATTTCTTTGCTTAGTTCATTGATGCATATTGCTCTACACATGCTATTTGGGTGTGACAATTACCATCACAGGTTAGAGTCCACAAGGCCAGATTTTTGAAGCCGTCTGGGTTTCCCCATCCCCTTCCCTCCCGTGCATTGCTTTGGGTAGACCCTAGAGAGAGGACAGCTCTGGAAGTCTCTTTCTCTCTTCCCCGAGGCTCCGTTGTGTTTTATTCTTTGGGCTTTCTTAGTCTCTGCATGAGGGAAAATTCTGCTTTAAGCTCCACTGAGTTTGGCGAAGCTGGAAGTAAAATGTAGATTCAAAAAAAAAAAAATGTAGATTCCCCAGTCGTGTGTATTTGTGGCCTGAATCCAGTTTTTCCACCACGAAGGAAGAAATTTCATTCTTCTGACTCCAGGCTTGACACTGGCCTGTGGATGACTGAACAGCATAAAATCCACTCTTACTCACTTCTGCAGGGTCCCTGCAGGCACCCTGTCCTGCCCCCAACTGCTCTGAATGGTGCTCCTTTTGTGGGTGGACACAGCTGTCACACTGTGAACCCAAATGCTCAGGACTGAGGCCATGATCTGATGCCCTGTGCTCAAGCTTGTTCTGCGGTGGTTCTTATGTAAGACTAGGTGGTTGTTTTGAAGTCTTGTGTCACCAGTCTCTTGGCTAGTCCCTTATCAGCACCATCTGACATGAGAGACCTCAGGGAAACTTTGTGATGAAGCATTGGCCGGACAGCATTCAGGTGCTAAGAAAATGGACGAGCAGGAATGGAAAGCCGATCCAGGATTGATTGGAGTATAAGGGGAGTGTGTACACTATCTCTCCTTTTCATGGAAGTCTTCCAACAACCACTACTCAGCGATCTTCTGGCAGGATTTCTGGGTGCATAATAATATGCTGGTTGGCTAATGGCCCCAGAGGCCTCTGGGAAACCCTGCACTGTAGTCAAATTTTTCTTTGGGCTGCCAGCTCACAATAATGACCCAGAGACTTATTATTAATTATTAAAGCTTGGCTTTTAGCTTAGACTTGTTTTCAACTAGCTCTTATAACTTAAATATTTTTATTAATCTACATTCTACCATGTGACTTTACCTCTATCCCGTTCTGTGTGTCTGACTCTTTCCTTCTGAGTCTCACTGGCCTCTCTAGTATAATCTGGTCACCTAGATTCTTCCTCCTCTTCCTCTCTCTCCCTGGAAATCCTGCCTATCTCTCTTGCCTAGCTATTGGCCATTCAGCTCTTTATTAAATCAACCACAGCAGTACATCTTCACACATTGTACAAATATTCCACAACACTGAACCCTAGACAGATACATGTGAGAGACAGCATGAGGACATCCACACTGCTGCAAGTCTTGTACATGCACCATGTGTATGCCTGCTGCTGGCTGCAGCCAGATGTGGGCTTTAGATCTCTTGGAACCCATGTTACAGATGTGTGTGAGCCATCACATGGGTGCTGGTAACTGAACTTGGGTCTGCTGCAAGAGCAACAAGTGCCCTTAACTGCTGTGCTGTCTCTACAGCCCTGAGATCTGGTTTTAAATCTCACCAGATCTGTACAGTGTGGGGTGGCAGTTCCAGCAGAGGAGACCAATGGGTGATGTGTGTGTGTGTGTGTGTGTGTGTGTGTGTGTGTGTGTGTGTGTGTGTATGTTCATTTCCTCTTCTCCTGAACATTATCACGGGGCTAGCATTGATTCCCCTGCACATCTCAAGAGCCATGTTGAGATCAGTTCTTTGTGAGTGGTCTGAAATGCATCCTTGGTTTCTGTCAGCGTAGGTATATGATGGTGAGTGTGGGCCCTGAACTCAGGGGACCTGGACTCCAGTCTTATCTTATTTGTGTCCAGAAGTGGGCTGTAGGGGAGTCTTTCATCCTCACTGAACCTCAATTTTCTCACCAATAAAATGAGACTGATGATGAGGATGGTGAGCGAAGGACCAAGCATGCCGAGCTCATGGCCTAGAACAGCAATGTGGTTCAGAGAACTGTTGATAACGTGGTTATTGTCGTTGCTGCTGCTACCAGCAAGACAGAAGTTGGCTGTGACAAAGGAATAAATGGTCCTTTCCTTGCCCAGAAAACATGCTTCTGTGGAGGGCAACCTGAAATGTCTAGGTTCCTGGGTGTCTAGAATAAACAACAGAACTAGAATCTTCTGCTAGTCTCTTCAACTAGACCTCTTCAGCCAGTGGGATTACCCAGTGTGCCAGTCAACTTTCTGCTACTGTGTGTAGGGTTCTGAGACAATTAACTTTGAAAAAGAGAAAGAGTATGGAGTTTCAGGCCACAGTCAGGCATCCCACTGCTTCCGGTCATTGTGGCTTGAGTACGTAGGACAAGAACACTGTCATGGCATCTGGGAAGCAAAGAGACAGAAAGGGTCTATACCAGCTACTTGTCTCCTGCTAGGACAAAGTAGCTGATGAGAAGCAGAGTGAATGGAGGAAGGGTTCCTTTGGCTCCGCACTTCAAGCATATATGGTCTAACATGATGGGGACATCATGGCTGCAGGAAATAGAGATAACTGGCCACATTGTGTCTGCAGTCAAGAAGCAGAGAGTCAAGAAGCTCAGTTCACTTTCTCATTTGTATTCAGTCCAGGACCCCAACCCATGGACTAGTGTTCATATACAGAGTACATTGTCCCACCTTCATTAACTTAGATGATCCCTACAGACATGCCCAGAGAGTTGTTTTCGTGGTGTTTCTAAATCCCATCAAGTCGGCAGTCAAGATTAACTATTCTTGGAGCTGAGCTCATGGTACCTTCTTCAAGGGCACAACCCTAATGATATTACTTCCTTCTATCAAGCCCTGGATTCTAAAGGCTCCACAGTTTTCCATTAGTGCCATAGACTAGATACCAAATTGTCAACTCATGGGTTTGGAGGGCAGCATTTGAGATCCCGACTGTAGTACCTAGACCATGGGGGGTGGTGCTTCACAGAGCCTAGATGGGGTCAGACCTTGTGTACATTGCTGTGTCGCTCACTGAATGGTGTTTCCAGTGGCTGTGTTGCATAGTAAGTGACTCAGAGCCACCCCTTGGCAGCTTCTCTTCCCCTGCCGCTCAGACATGTGATGGGTGTTTCCTCAGCTGAAACCTAAGATGCTTCTGTTCCTTCTGCTGTCACTGATGAATGGAAAATGGATCCTACCCTTCTGCGTGCATTCTTGATATATTAGGAAACTGTCATCCAGGCTGCTCACAATGATATTAGCTCAAGGCCGGGCATGCCCAGTCCTTTTAAACTTTGCCCAGATGTCTGACTTTTCATGACTATCTCTCATTTCCATGACATTCCTCAGTGCATTGGGATTTCTCTCAAAGGTTTGCCACGATAGCCATCCTCTACTTGGTGCCCAAAATGCCATGCCCAATTAAATGATCAACAAGAACAGGAGGAAAAAGAAACCGAGATGCTTGGAGTAGGGGGTGGAGTGGGGGAGGGAGGCTTCAAAAAGACTTTTGAAGCCAACTTGGGGTAGTTGGGAAGCCATTCCCAGCAAGGAAGGGAGCTGAGGACAACACTGTGAGTGTGGAGGGTGTGAGCAGACAGGGGTGAGAATGTAAATGGCCACCTTCTTCTTTTGGATTGATTCTGCGTGGAGGTAACTGTTTTAGCACAAGACACAGAGAGCAGTGTTGGATAGTTGAAATCGGTACCTCTTCTCTCATCTCTCATTAGCTGTCCTTCTAAAGGAAGCATGGTCTCAGTGCTTAGTTAGCAGTTGGGCTGAGTTATTCTTTTTCGAGCACACACACACGCACATGCACACACACATGCACACACACTCACTCACTCACACACGGAGAACAGAGGACCAGGACCTGCTATATTGCTGAGAAGTCTGGTGAGATGATGGATGGCTTTAGCCTAGATGATGGGGGCTGAGGGGCACACGTCTGTGTGAAGGATGCACTTTCCAGGTCTCTGTATGGAAACTTCCCAGGACTGATCACCAGAGGGCAGCAAATACCAACTTGCAGAACGTTTCCTTGCCATTGTGTGTTTGCTCTGCGTTGGGTGTCAAGAGTGGCTAGGATTTTGCTGCTGCTATCCGTTTATTTAGCTTCTTATTGTCACTGTGAGCGTGGGGGAGCACCAGCTGTGTGATTGCCAGGCTCAAGATCAAGCTTGTAAACAATCTAGGCTATTTTGATGACTTTAGAGTATAATTTGACTCATACATGTCTCTTAAAAAAATCAAATGATAACAAAGTCGTTTGTGTCACTTTGGATGGATACAAAAATATTGTTTACATTTTCCACAACAGAAACTTAAACATTTGTCTTTTCTTTTTGAGACAGGGTCTCACTATGTAGTCCTGGTTGGCTTATAGACCAGGCTACCCTCCAACTCACAGAGATCCTCCTGCCTCTGCCTCCCAGTTACTGGGAGTAAAAGTGTGTACTCAGCAACATTTATCTTTTGAAAGATTTAACTGCTGTACTCTCCCCCAGAGTCCGAGGCACTGGAGATAAACACAGCTAGAGATAAGCATGAGTGTCTGAAGTGGGTGTTTGGAAGAGTTCCAGTTGTGCACTTAGTTCCGTGTGCGCGTGAACAATTTCCTTCTCAGCACTTCAGTGGTGGTAGAGATGGCCTGGGACAGGTGCATGCCCCAGAGACCCAGCGTGCACCAAAGGAGCTGGACACCATTGAGAA